TCATCTGTGTCCTTGGACTTTGTCACTACATGAGGTAATAAATCCATTTTTTTGCTTGGACTTGTTTCTGATATTCTGACCCCCCTCCCCAGTCCCCTACTAAAACAGCTGTAAATATTAGAACAGATCTGGGGTTAACAAAAGGATTTATAGAGGATTAAAGACTAAGAAAAGAAACAAAAACCAAGCAAGGTATGTAAGAGAAATGCCTTGGCCTATAAGCAAGAGACTATTTTAGTTACAATGTTTCAATTAGTCTCAATTTGTATTTAAAATTACACCAAGTAGCGGGCCTGGCGGTGGTGGCACACCGCTTTAATCCCAGCACTCAGGAGGCAGAGGTAGGCAGATCTCTGAGTTCGAGGCCAGCCTGGTCAGTAAGAAAACATTACACTAAGTAAATTCAACATTTGGCATATAGGTGAAACCTAGAGAATGAACGGGGGTAACGCTAACAAAGCTCACCACATGCTGCCGGGCTGGCACTGGTAATGGCTGAGTCACAGCGCTGCGATCACTACTGTAGAAGGGGCCTGTCACAATCCCCAGTGGATCTGTTGCGAAACTGGAGTTTGAGCAGCTACAGGACAATCCTCAGAAGGGGCTTCTGAGCTGGAACCTCGGCCTTTTAACCGTAACGTGTGTTTGTGATACTCTCCTGTACGCCCAGCCCTCGGGAGAGAAGCAAACAGACCAAGAGTGAGATCAGCCCAGGCAACCAAATAAGACTGTCTCAAGAGGCATACATATATGTTTGCTTATTCTGAGCGTCTTAGAGTGGCAAAGCTTCAGAATCCCTTTGTTGTGATCTCTAAACCCATTCCAGCCATCACCGGATGGCCTGACCAAATTTACACATTGTTTTTTCATGCTCACACCTGGTGGTAGCAAAGACCTGGGGAAATCTACCCAGGTCAGAGAAACATCAAAGTAGCAAGGACGGCCATGCCCCTCATGTAGGTGTTTCAGAGACACTGTACCTTTATCTTAGTAGGAGTGTGAACGAAAATCTGAGTCAGATAAAAAACATAGGGCTAACCGTTATAGAACAACACCAACTCTGCTCACACGTGTGCGTTCCGCATGCCTGCACAGGCTCCTTAAAACACTCACACATGTGCGTCCCGCATGCCTGCACACGCTCCTTGAAACACTCACACATGTGCATCCCGCATGCCTGCACACACTCCTTGAAACACACATGTACATCCCTCATGCCTACACAGGTCCTTGAAACACACATGTGCATCCCGTGTACCTACACGAGTCCTTGAAACACTCACATATGTGTGTCCCGCGTGCCTGCACACACTCCTTGAAACACTCACACATGTGCATCCCTCATGCCTACACAGGCCCTTGAAACACTCACACATGTGTGTCCTGCATGCCTGCACAGGCTCCTTGAAACACTCACGTGCATCCTGCGTGCCTGCACAGGCTCCTCGAAACACTCACACATGTGTGTCCCGCATGCCTGTACACTCCTCGAAACAGCCTCGTTTCCTTGCTATAAGGCTGCTGAAGAGGCCACCAAACTCATTTTAGATCAGAGTAGAGTGAGAGACCCAGGAAGGCCAGAGACTCACCTTACACACACTGGAGACAGAAGGGACACACTCAGCGGAGTGCTGGTGAGGAGCCTCTGGAGACAGAAGTGCAGTCAACCAGGAGGGAGCAGACCCGCACATTTTCTTTGCTCATACTGCTTTACAAATGGGATCTTTCCTATTTTTCCCTTAAACTCAAAGTCAAAAAGAAGCAAGCTCTCATTTGGCCAAGGGACACGATCACAAGATAGCTATGTGTTCTGCATCATTTATTTCAGGACAATACATGTTCTGCCTCCATCTGATCGCCCAAGGGCTGAGCTTGGCGGAGTTCCAGGCAGCCCTAAACACTAGCCAAAACTCAGGACACAGACTAGATTAGGACAATAACTGCTTGAATGGCCCTTCCAGGTTCCCCACATACTCTGATCCCCACCTCTTGCTGGACACTCAGGGTGACTTGTAAAAGTTCTGTCTTCGCTTGTTCATTTTCTGACTTAACCAGGTCTAGAAAGAGGACCTCCTTCCAGGGCCCTTACTACGAGCAGCAGTAACAGGGGACAAGCTACTTTTGTGAACACCATCCCATTTGTGCTAGCAGCCCTATGAGGAACGGAGGGCAAGTAATGCAGTCCTTGTTCTGTGGATCATTAACAGACTGAAATTCAAAACAAGCTAGTAACCAAGAGATGGGTGCTTGAAACACAATTTAACTCAATCCAAGGAAGTGGGCCCTGGTATTAAAAGGCTACCTTGTACTCCTGTCTTGGTTTTGGTTTCTGTTGCTGGGATGAAACACCATGACCAAAAATAAGTTGGTGAGAAAAGGGTTTCATGTTAATAGTCCATCCCTGACGGATGTCAGGACAAGAACTCAAGCAGGGCAGGAACCTGGAGGCAGGAGCTGATGGAGAGGCCATGGAGGGATACTGCCTACTGGCTTGCTTCCTCTGGCTTGCTCAGCTTTGTTATACACCCCAGGACCACCAGGCAAGGGTGGAATCACTCCAATAGGCTGGGCCCTAACCACCACCACCACCATCCCCCCCACCCCCTGCCATGCATCAATCACTAAGAAAAGGAGCTACAGGCTTGTCTGCAGTCCAGTCTTACAGAAGCATTTTCTTACTTGAGGTTCCTTCCTCTCCAATGACTTTAGATTGTGTCAAGTTGACACAAAACTATCCAGCGCGCGCGCACACACACACCCACACCCACACACACACTCACACACACATTGCCTTAATCAGTTAGTTATAGACCTGGAAGCTGACAGGTTAGTTAGCTAGTGGAGCCAGAGAAATCTGTTTCCAGTGTTCCCACACATCTGGGTTTCAATGGGATGGCTCCAAAGAGCAGGCAGTGGCAAAACAGGAAAATGGAACAAAACTATGAACGGCATGAAGAGATAGATGGTCATCCTGAAAGGCAGCAGAGGTGGCAGACCACTGGGAGTTAGAAAACACCCTGGTCCTCTTCCAGAGCCAAGGTCTCTAAGTCCTTGGAAAATGGAAATGGAAATAAATAAATAAATAAATGGGTAAGGCCTTGAAAACTTGAGTGTGGCATCATGACGGTGAGCCAGAGAGGACAAACCCGAAATGTCTGGTTTCCAAGACCAAGCAGGGAGGCTGAAGGGAGTGGAGTAACGGTTCACACAAACCCGTGCAGACACAAAAGAAGACACAGAAAACGCCAGCCGGGAAACAAAGAATCTGTCATGTTTCTTTACAGGTCATCGGCCTGGACACCATGTCTCAAACCTGTAGACACCTGATAGAGCCAACCAAGAACTGCGTGTAAGTAAGAGAACATCGGGGCTAGGGAGATAGCTCAGCGGTTAAGAGCACTGGTTGCTTTTCCAGAGATCCTGAGTTCAATGCCCAGCAACTACATGGTGGCTCACAACCATCTATAGTGAGATCTGATGCCCTCATCTGGTATAAAGGCATACATGCAATAGAGCACTCATACACATAAAATAAGCAAATAAATCTTTTTAAAAAAAAAAGCAGAAAAGCAACTCCTGTCTGCAGCTCTATGCACTACCATACAGTTTGCAAGCTTCGGGCAAGGGGCTGGAGGTTGAAACACTCAGAGACTCACACAGAGACAGACAGTGAGACAGACACACGTACCTCTAGTCACTGGTAAGAAGCCCCTTATTCAATAGCACCATGGGGGCTTATATACCCAACAGTCAGGTGGGCCAACAGGTGAAAACCTTATCCTCTGATCCTCAAGGCAAGGCAACACGTGCTCGTGAAGCAGAGCTGTAAACAACTTTGACACAGCTTTCAGTAACTTAAATCAGAAGGAAAGTAAAGATCTCTAGCAAGAAAGAGCAGCTGGAAGCCGGGACTCTCCAAATGGTCCCAACAGAGTA